TTTGGGAAATTCTCTTCTACAATCCTGTTTAAGATTTGGTCAATATCATTAACCTGAAATTCTTCTCTGTCGCGAGCCGGGACTCTGTCCAGCAGAGTCCAGGAAAGACGACACAGACACCAAGGTGAGGTTCAAGCTTCTGTTTCTCTTTCTCCTTTATTCTCTCGTATTCTCTTCACTATGATGCTGGCTCACTATGATGCTGGTTCCTCACTATTACACACTTCAGCTCTTTATATAGCGTTTCCAACAGCCCTCCCCCCAGCCGGTATCAATCAGGGCTCACACATGTGCAGCGGCCAGGCAGAGTGTAGCTCATAGGCATGTAGCAAGATCACCAGGCTGGCAGCACCTGTTTGGCCTCTCCATACTTTGGAGTAAGCAAGCGGGAATCACGAGCCTTGGCAATCAGCCAAGAGTTGGAGTAAACAGCACGAGGTTTGGCAGCCAGCCAGGGCGCCATCTGGCTGACTCAGCTGTGCTCGCTTCCCACAGTTAAGAGCACTGACTGTTCTTGCAAAAGACCTGGGTTTGATTACTAGCACCCACATGGCAGTTAACAACTGTCCATAACACCAGTTCCAGGGGAATCCAATGCCCTCTTCTGACCTCCATGGGCATTATATAAAACAGGTGCACCTACACACATACAGACCATACACATACATTTTAAAAATAATAAAATATTTTAAAAATAAAATAGCTGAGACACTAAATAGGCATGTCTCTACTGGAATCAAGCACATTAATAATATGAGTCAATGAATGATAAAGAAAGAAACAGGTGAGAAATTGAGGGCTCAGTGCCTACTGCCTACCTTGCTCCACCACTTGGCCAGTTTAAAGGTAGCAGAATTTGATAAAGATTCTTATTAGTTATTATGATGGTTAATCTTGGTTGTCAGCTGGGTCTCAACTAAGAGATCAGCCTCTGGGCACACCTGTAAGAACTTCCTTGATCAGGGTATTTGAAGTGGGAAGACTCACACTGAAATGTAGGCAGCACCTTCCAGTGGCAGCCAGATAAAAGGAGATGAAAACCTTCTGTCCGTTGCCTTCTTGTTGCCTTCCTCTCTTGTTGCAGGATCATCCACTCTGTTGTGGCTGCTGCCACTCTTCACTGACATCTGCTGCTTCAGCCCTCTGACATGGACTGAAGACCAGTGTTTTTCCAGGATACTGTAGGCCTTCAGCACCAGATTGGGACCACTGAGGCATTCAGCTTTGTGGACTGTGGCAGCTACTGGTATGTCAGCCTCTCCTGTGTGAAGACAGCCACTATTGGACTATCCAGACTCTTCTGTGTGGGCCAATCAAATAAATCCCCCTTTAGTATATAGCCGTTCTAGTGGTCCTGTTTCCCCAGAGCACCCTTACTAATGTACTTAGATGCTAGAGGCAATTTGACATGCTCTAGATGCTGCTCATGCCACAAAATTCAGAGCATCATTGTCTATTCTCACCTTTGTTCAAAGTTTCTGTGCTGTTCTGCCTTCTCTGAAAGCCACATTATTTCCAGAGTCTCCCTACATAGCCCTGATCACCCTTGAGCTCACTTTGTAAACCAAGCTGGCCTCAGACTTTTGGAGATCCCCATGCTCCTGCCTCCTGGGTGCTAGGATTATAGCACACAGGGTATCCAAAATCCTCCTTAATAAACTACTTTATTCTGTCTTAGGTATGAGTTCAGATGGTCAAGTGCCACAGGACCTGTGTGGAGATCAGAGGACAACTTTTGGGAGTTGGGGAACTCTCCTTCCTCTGTGAGTTCTGGGAAACTCAGTTTGTACAGCAAGCACATTTACCCACTAAGTCATCTGCCTGGCCCTATATTTATATTTCTTTTTTTAAAAATTTTTTTTTATTATTTTTATTTTATGTGTATCAGTGTATTGCCTGCATGTATATGAGTGCACCCATGTCATGCAATGCTGCAGTGGTCAGAAGAGGGCTTCGGATTCCCCTGGAACTGGAGTTAAGGATGGTTCGTAGCCACCATATGGGTGTTGGGAATTGAACCCGGGTCCTCTGCAAGAGCAATCAGTGCTCTTAACTGCTGAGCCACCTCTCCAGCCCCTATATTTCATTTTTTTAAGATTTATTTTATTTGGGAGAAGGAACACATGCATGCCACAGTGCACATGTGGAAGTCAAAAGACAGCTTTCAGGAGTCAGTTCTCTTCTTCTACCATGGAGATTGATTCCAGGGATCAAACTCAGGGTTGGGCTTGGTGGCGGATGTCTTTCGCCACTAAGCCATCTTGCCAGTTCCTTAATAAGCTACTATAAAATGACTAGATGAGACCTGTGGGCCTCTCTCTGGGACCAACCCAGCTCCTCAGTGCAGTCCTCAGGAGCCCTTGGGGCCGCTTCCTGCCCCCATCTTCCTTTGCATCTCTGGGCGACACAGTCACCAGCTGCCTTAGACCAGCATCTTTCCTGGGCCTGGTTCCCAGGCCAGTCCAACCCCCATATTTCTGAGGCCAAAATCTTTCCTGGAGGGATCCAGACCTTAGGAGAAAGCCTGAGAGCATCTGATCCTCATCTGACTTGGGCCTCTCTGGGAACTCCTGAAGACAAAAGCAATCTGGCCACTCCAATATAAAATCAAAAGAGAAAACTGAAAGCTTACAGGAACTAGCCTTTCATGCCCAAAAAGTAAACCACAAAGACACATAAAGTTCACAAAAAGAAGCAGACCTCAACTTGAAAGCTTGAGTCTCACATAAGAATCAGAAACTACAAAAAGAAATTCACATGTCAAAATCGCAGAGAAAAAATAATAACTTGAAAAACCAAAATACCATATTCCCACCAAATGCCAATAGTCCTCTAGAGGAGTACAGTGAGAACCCCCTAGAGATAATGCAGGACATGGAACTTGGGTCTTAAAGTGAAAGAATGGGAAAAAATATACCAAGCAAATGGTACTAAGAAAAAAGCAGGTGTAGCAATTCTAATATCTGACAAAACAGACTTTAAACCAAAACTAATCAGAAGATATAAAGAGAGCCACTTCATTCTGATCAAAGGACCAATAAATCAAGAAGATATTACAATCATGAACATATATTCACCAAACTCTGGTGCATCCAACTTCATAAAAACAATACTACAGGACTTTAAGACCCAAATTAACCCCAACTCATTAATAGTAGGGGACTTCAGTACCCCACTATCTCCATTAGATAGGTCAACAGGCCAGAGACTTAACAGAGAGACATCTGAATTAAACAAAACCATATATCAAATGGACTTAACAGACATCTACCGAGTATTACACCCAAGCACCAAAGGACATACTTTATTCAGTGCCCCATGGAAGCTTCTCCAAAACTGACCATATACTGGGGCACAAAACAAAC